TCAAAAAAGCTGCCTTACAACATGGCCCTAAGGCCGAATTATATATGAAGGTGAAAGTGGGGGGGAAACACACAATACAATTAATGGGACATAAAGGAAGCTTCCTAGAAAATATTCATCAGCCCCTCATGTCTTCTAGGTAGGGAGAAAATTCAGAGATGATGTGTGGTTGTGGAACTCCTTTCTTGGCCTTTAGTGCATGGGAAATATTTATGTGAATAATACCCATACTTTGATTGGTTTTTTGGGTGATGTATTTGATAAGTCCGTTTCGTTCTTATCATTTACATCATATTCTAAATGTTATTGCACGTAAATAGTATTTAATCATCTCATAAAATGTGATTTTAATGGATAAAACTCTCATTTTCGTTCTAAGAGTCATAAAATGGGATTCCACATGAAATCATCATAAATCATTCATTTTTGTTCAAGTATTTGAGAAAAAGGGAATAAATCATCAAGGGATCAAGATTCGGACTTGAACGAGCTTCCGGGAGGTCAAAAACAGTGTTCGGGGCCAAAACGGAGCGGAATTGGGCCAAAATCACGAAACAGCCGCGAAGCCCAACGGACCAAGGCCTCCAGGCATCCAACTTGGACGCTTGGCCAAGTTGGACGCTTGAAGTTTGACGCCTGGGCTAGATTGCAATCCAAGAAAGACACGTGGCAAAATCTGGTTGGCCGGAGCAGCTCAAGCGTCCCGATCTGGACGCTTGGACTTGGACGCTTGGACTTGGACGCCTTGGCTTCGTTCCTATAAATACAGCGCGATTCTCCCCATTCAACACATCACTTTCATCCCCTCTCTCGGGATTTGAGCTTAATATTCCATTTCTAAATACTAGTTTGGAATTTTGGTAGTTTTAGAATAATTTTTGGAGAAATTCTACTCCCGATCTGTTCTGTTCCGCTTTTACGGAAGTTGTAAGTTTACGCTATTTAATAAAATGCTGTTTTAATTTATGTTTGCATAGTATGAGTTAGTGTCCGGATCTCTGGGTCCGGACTAGTTTGGTTGTTTTTTTTATGTTAAATTAATGTTGGAATGGTTAATCTATTGTTCTTGCCTTATCTGATTAATTAATATCGGAAGATTTAATTGGCCATTTATTGAGAAAATATTGTATGCCAAAAGGCTATGATATTCAAGTACAACGGATTAAGTACAAATCTAGAAATGGATGAGTAGTAATAGAAATATTATTATTCCAACTACTAATTTAATATGATAAAATAAATCCAAATGATGTCCAGACCCTAGGACCAGATCCATACTTATACTATGTAAACTTAATTTATTATTTTTACTCTGCCTTTTTTATAGTCGTTCTGAGAAGACTTTCATAAACCAATCCTAATCTTCACCTAATTAGAGTAATTAAACTAATTCCCTTCGTCCACTCCTCGAGAGATACGACACTCGGAGAGAAAACTAACCCTTTACTGAGAAGGTTTACTACCCGAAAAACTACAACTGTCAAATGGCGCCGTTGCCGGGGAGTGGCACGGCATTAGTTTAATTTCTTCTGATTAGCTTGGGTGAAGATTGGTTAGAACGATCTTCTCACTTCTTTTTTTTCACCAACCATCCGTAATAATTATTATGGACAACTCCAGTGGTTATTACGGCCCGCCTTCTTACTACCAATCACCCAACCGCCCTCCGTACCAAACCCACCAAACCTATCACCCACATCAAAACTCATATGATGACGACTACCAAGTCAACAATGGGTCTGACTACTATCCCTACCATGAGGAACCACCATATGATACCCCGTCTAGAAACTTTGGGTATTCTCCTTGCCAAGATTCTGATGGGGATAATTATTATGAACCTCATGGTGATCACGATGACTATGACCAATATGGGCCTATGTACGACGATCAACATGATCCACTCGTTGAAGAAATAATAAGATTAGAACAGAAAATCTTCTATTTCGACGAAGTTTTATTCGCTGAAGGCTCCTGGTATGAACCACCCTACTCCCGTGACTATACCCTGTTTGCCGAAGAACAAATTGAAGCAAACAAGGTGGCAATTCGAGAAAGAGCAAAACTTCTCGAATCAGTCCGGAAGGAAAAGGAGTTCGAAAGGAGATTATGCGAAGGATCAGATATGATGCAGAAAATGCTAGATGACTTCCAAAGAGAGAGACTAGAAGCTGAGGCTAAAGCTGATAAATTGGTCAATGATCTCTGTAAGGCTATTAAGCTTAAACGCTCCCTCCAATCTCAAGATCAAATGAGGGGGATTAATGTTCAAAAAGAGGCTCTAGAACCTAAGACCAACCCTGAACCCATCAACCAACAGGTGCCAGTTCTAGAAGAATCACCAAGTTCTACACCCTCACAGAAGCCCGAGAGCATAACAACTCTTGCTGGGGCTACTGTGGTGATGTTACCCGAATACCCTCCAAGCCAAGTCTCAACCGGCACAGTCGTACATGAGGTGGAACCAACTAAGGGACCTAACTCAAAACCACCTATGCTTATTCAAGAACAGAATGAGGAGGAAGTTTTGCCTATGGCAATAAACGACCATATCCTTAATTGTGTTGAAGACACGCCTCCTGAGGAATCTGTTCTGGAGGAGATAGAGCCCACTACCTACCCCCAAGATTCCAACATTCAAGAGTCTAAGGAGGAATCTATAGACGGAGAAGTACCTAGCACAGAGGAACCAATAATGTCTATAGATAATCATGCTTCATCAGAAGACTTAGACCAAACTTTCTTTGACTCCCTACTTGACGGGTGTGACTTTGTCTGCCCGAAGGATAGTTGGAGCCAAAAGAGTTGGGATGAACTTCTGGTAAGTGACACTGAAGACTCATCCATGGGCGAAAGCACGGTCGTAATCATCAAACCAAAAATGGATGGTCAGCCTGCTGAAGATAAGGAAAAAATCAATCTCGCTATGAAGGCCAATGATGTGGATCAACTGAGGAGACTTCCGCCCCCACCCACCTATCAAGAGTCTCCTCCTTTTATCCTGTTGCCACCAAGCCGCAGGGATGAGTCAAGGATCCTGGACCTTGACCGAGCAACAAATCGAACAAGGTGGCACCAGAAGAGAGTCAGAAGGGCCAAACTTTATGATTCTCGAATCGGAAGGTCGCGGAAAAAGTGGGTGAGCGTCGAGCTACGGACGTTAAAGAAGCGCTTAACGGGAGGCAACCCGTCATTCAAATAACTAAAATAATTAAATAAATTCAATAGTTTTATTTGTTAGTTTTTGAGGTTACGCTTGCCGCACCAGTTTTGGGGGCAAGAGTTATTTTGTTTGTTGTCTTTGCTTTTGCAGATGAGAGAATTGTAGGGCATACCTTACAGTGGGAGCGAAGAAGATGTCTCACCTGGGGAAAACACAAGGTTTCTGCAACCTTTGGGGCTTCTTGATCCAACAGTCCTGGTTGAAGTTGGCTACTGAGAGAATATTGACTTCCTCAGTAAAGTCTCTTTTTCTCTATTATTTTGAACATGATTTGGATGCTTGGTTGATTTTTATTTTGGAATTTCACAACATGACTCTTAAAACCATTTTGAGAAAATTTTATGCATTATTTCATATTTTCATGTTATGGTTATCTATTATTTCAATCTTCATTGTTGAATCTTGTAAGTATTGAGATAACTTAGTAATTGCATGTGAGCATTTCAACCATTAACTCCAATTCCAAAATACTATTAACCACGAGGGCGTGGTTCCGTTTAAGTGTGAGGAGGTAAGAGTTCGTGGTTGAAATGATCTTTTTAGGAATTGTTTTGTCTATATATTTTTAGGAAAAGATTTTTATAAAATAGTCATCAATTTTAATTGTTGGATTAATTAATCTTTAGTTATCACCCGTAAAAATTGGAAAATTTTAAAATTTTTTTGTCAAACTTCTATTTCTACTCTAACCTTTTTGGGAATGTTTTCTAAAATGATTTGGGATAAATTCACAATTTATTAAGAGTTTTTTTAGATCAATTAATTTTTAAGTGCTTTATTGAAAATCTTTTTGCTGATGCTCTTTTGAGTATTTGTTGTTTCTTAAAAAGAGTTATTTTCAAAGTATAAGGGGTGACGTTTCAAAACATACTTTGGTGAGACCGATATTCTTGTTTTAGCCAAAAAGCAATTGGTTCTATGTCAATTGATGAGGCGTGGTGAGTATGCCAAAAAGCACGTGGTTCTATATTGCGTGATGAGGCCTTTTGAGTGTTTGAGTCAAAAAGCATGCGGTTCTATGTCGTGTGATGAGACTTTCATGAGTGAATATCCAAAAAGCTCGTGGTTCTATGTCACGGGATGAGGTTATAAATTTTTCTCGTGTCAACATGACAAAGTTATGCCAAAGAAAATTAAACCCTTACACTTTGACAAATACTTTTGCAAGAACATGTTTTCCAATTTAGCCATTAAAAAAATTATTTGATCTTTAAAGTACTCTTACAAATGTAGTTATCCCAAGGAAAGTTTGGAAAATTTTGGTTGTTTAGGTTGGTGTAAAAATATTGGTTTGACAAAATTCTTTTACATTTCTAACAATATGGGTGAGAATCTAAAGGTTCATTTATTCTTAACAAAAAGGTTGATGACTATCTCATTCCTTCTTTCCTTCATAATATGTAGCTTAACCCTTCCCTCTGCAATTATTAATTTGTTTTTATACTTATACTTATTCAATTTGTTGCTTGAGGGCAAGCAACATTTAAGTGTGAGGAATTTGATAAGTCCGTTTCATTCTTATCATTTACATCATATTCTAAACGTTATTGCACGTAAATAGTATTTAATCATCTCATAAAATGTGATTTTAATGGATAAAACTCTCATTTTCGTTCTAAGAGTCATAAAATGGGATTCCACATGAAATCATCATAAATCATTCATTTTTGTTCAAATACTTGAGAAAAAGGGAATCAATCATCAAGGGATTAAGATTCGGGCTTGAACGAGCTTCCGGGAGGTCAAAAA